ATTTTCAAAAAAATTCGAAATTTTATATCCGAAAAAAGTCATATCTCATGTAAATTTTTAGATATAAAATTACATGGAGTATGATTTTTTTGGACGTAAATTTTCGATTGTGAAAGTTCTACCAACTTCTTTACAAGTTCGATTGTGCCCCCCCAAAGTTAAAGTTCTACGTCCCTGAATAGATGACTAAATATAATTTAACGTAAATTATGTTTTTATTCATGAAGAGTAAATTCTTGTATTATAATAATATGTTATTACTCCTGAAAAACATAATTATAATTTTCAAAATTTTAAAAGAATTTTGATATATTATTCCAGCCAAAGTAAAAATAATACATATTGGTATTCTTAAATAAACATGCCCAGTTTTTAAAATGTGGGGTACAATTGAAACAAACACTATATTAAACAGGAAGTTCAATTTGATTTTATTGTTTGGTTTGACCAGTTAGATCATTACTAAATCAATAATGATGCGAAATAAAAAATTCAAATGGATATTTAACGAAGATCCATAAGATTCTCCAGTCCAATGAATTCCTATATATTATTTGTTGTTTTATTGAAATTGATCATTAAATATTACTAGTTAAAATAAAGACTAAATTCATATACTAAATGATTGCATGGTGTTCGCAACCTGAAGTTTTGCAAAATTATTGTCCTATTTTAAATTACAAGCATAATTTCTAGATTATGCAATCGAGATAGTGTGTCTTGTTCATGCCAAGGATCCTAAATCTTGACTTTTCGACAAGTGTTAGTTGAGAGTTCAATAAATTGTATAACATTATTATTTGTTAAATGTTTTCAATTAATTTAATTGACAATGTAGTACTTCCAATTTCTATTTAGGGAAAACTATTACATATAATACAAGCATCATAGTTCTCCATGTTATAATTGACTTAAGATCAAAGCCTAATTTTTGCATCTAATTATTTTGATAGTCCAATACATGCAAAATTAATCCACCACGATATACTGAGATGGAAAGTAAAGAACGTTGAGAACCCCTATACAATATCTCAAGCCCCAACAGGTAATATTTTATGAAGCGGCTTGCTGATCGTCAATTTGACTGGACAATTCTCTTAGTATCAGGGTAGGAATTAAGAAATTGAAAATAATGTACAAATACATCATCATCATCTAAATTCTCGCAAAAGATAATTCAAATCAGAAGTTTGAAATATAATTTGCTTAAATGCATTTACTAACCAAATAAATGAATAATATCTCACGCATCAGTTTTAAATACTTCATCATGAATTGACGTCCTAGGAGGATAATTCCTTTGCATTATATTCGATATATCTATGACACGTTTGAACCGTGGTGATATTCAATTCTAATTTTTAAAAAAATCTCTAAATAAAAATGGAACAATTAGCAAAGATGATCCAATTGAAGAAGCACATTACACCTGTTTGTGTCTTGATCGATTTTTTCACTATGACCGGATCGGACTTTGGTCTGATTTTTGATTTTTCTGGTTGAATCGATCGGTCCAGTCCAGTTTTCACATCATTGGGTATTATCATGAGGGGTAGTGAATACACGTTGTACTATTTTTTTTTTTTTTTATCAACGTTTTGTCACATTGAGTTTTTATAATAAGATTTTTAACGAAACAACTTTTGTAGCGTACTCAAAAGAATAATATATTCTTTTTCCTTCATTATGATTTTTTCACTTGATTTTTCCTAATGAAGTTTTAACGAGACATATTCTTTGTGTAATAAATGTCTATAACATACAAGACACTTACTCACAAGATAATACTATAATATGTATGAGACTCTAGAATTGATCAACAAGAGCTATTTTTCGAATATCACGTTACTACAGTTATCCAAGGTTAATAAATATCTTATATGAAAACAATGTTATTTGAAAACATTAACATACAAGATAAGGATGGATTGATACAATAATTGAAATCATGAGAGCGATTGTACTCTTTTTTCTTAACTCAAGTTTTGTGCCGTTAAATTTTCTTGACAAAGTTGTAGTGAGACATATTTTTTAATATATTATTCAAATGGGAGTGTTGTGAATAATAATATAATTATTAGTGAGTGATAATTATACTATTGCAACCCTAGTTCTTACTATCATTGTCGAATGCCCAATTAAAAGAAGTTTAGATAAACAACACGTCTTAAATATTTTTCCAGATGGCAACGGGCAAGGGCCATGGAGGCCATCACCATCCCCGTTTGTCGGAGATATTTGAGAAGGGAAGTGGGAGTAGGGTTGGAATAAAAACAAAATCCTCACTTGCTGTTCAGTTTAATAAATTTATTTTTAGTATTAGTTTTCAATTTTTAAATACAATGTAATTGAAACTATAAAAATAAAATAAAAAATCCTGGGCGAGTTCGGGAAATATGAAACCATGACCATAGTTTTCGTCTACATATCATTTATCATTCAAGACAAGATGATAATACACAGCAGGTTGAGAGCGGAAAATTTTGCTATCGTTAAATATTTTATTTCGAGTAGTTGGATTATAGTCAAGATAACATATGACATCTCCATTAGAAAGGTCTTGAAAATTTGAGCGAAATAAATGTTTGTGTAAGAAAAGATGGTTGTACTACATATACATGATGATTTACAAAAACGTGATATGGAAAGAAATGATTGGTTCTGAATTTCTTCAATCAAGTAAAAGCAAAAAAAAATCTCCATTATCCTTTTGACACTTCATTTTTATGTAAATCATTATATATAAATAATATTATTCAAAAAAATAAAAAAGATTTATAGAAAGAGACAAGAGAGAGAGAAGAAGAGGTGCTGCACTTGTCTTGAATTAGTGAGAGTATGAGTGAGCATTCCACTCTTTCTCTCAATTATTAAAGGCAGATTTGAACCTGCCTATAAGTTGAGGCAGGATCAAACCAGCATTGAAAGAAGAAGCTCCAGTCTCTCTATAGTTTTTCAAAAATTTAGGGTGTGTTTGATGGATATTATTGAGAAAAAAATATATTTTAAATAGTGATATGACGTGGTTAAAAAGTAAAAAAAAGTTATTGATGCGATGAAAAATATTATTTTTTTAAAAAAATGTGTGGTTGAAAATGAGTTTTTAAAGAACGTATTTTGAAAGAATGTGCGTTAAACAGGGACTTAAATTTTAAATTTTCACGGGCATGCGGTTGAATGTCTGCACATGCACAAGAATTGATTTAGCTCGACAATTCAGACGGAACCTCGCATGAGCCGGTTCTTATGCCGAGCTTTTTTTGGGTGGATCAAGTGTTTTGTACGTTTACTATTGTAATTTTATTTAATTTTTTAAAATTATACATTGTTTCAATAAAATAATTTTATAAATAAATTCAATTTTTTTCTTATTTTTCAATCTCAATTTTTTAAGAAAATACTTTTTTGACAAAATTTATTCTCAAATCATTCAAACATGGCTAAATTTGAATAGTTTTAGAAATAGGCTCGAGCAAAATGGAACCATAAAGGAGAGCATCTCCATTGGAGATGCAAATGAACTAATTATAGACCATATGTGAATCATGAATGAGAAATTGAAGCTTAAAGTATGTCATGTAAAAGGAATTTATGCTGGTGGAAAAACAAAAAATAAATTTGTCCCATGTAGGAAGTAGATGAAAACTAAAATCACTTTATAAAGGATTGCACTTTAGAATAGTGTAATCATGTGTAGCATAAAGGCTCTCTCCATGTGCGCGCGCAGGGGGGTGCAAATCACGGACCGAAATAGACATCGGACCATGAACTTGTGTACGGGCCTATTTCGGACCGAATTTGCAAATCACCTGCGTACATGAATGTTGGACCGGATTAACCAAAAAATGGCTCATTAGAAGAGCCTACGTTTTGCTACATTTTAT